CAAAAAAAAAAAAAACTTTGGAAAATCGTGTTGAAGTTCTTACTTTTGATTGAGTGGATCGCTGGCAAACAGGGTAAAATCATGTATTATTTCTGACGGATTTTGGAGTCAATTACTTTCCCTTAGGGCACACAAAGGTTTTGATTTTTATTTGAACCATTGACTTTTAAGCAAACTTTTATGTGGCAATTCGCGGATATGTTTTTGAAATAGAAACCAGATGTTGGTCATCCTTAACTTCTTCTCATAAAAGATATCACCATGATTTTTATGTTTCCTAAAGGGAAAATGAAGCTCAAGCTTACAGACAAATACATGTAACTATGCTTTGATCCTCATTAGAGCGGGAGACACGGAATGAAGAGCCCCCATTGGTACCCCACAAACCACAATGGGCAAAAGTAGTTTGACATGCTTGGACGATACGCCCAGAACCACGGTACTTGTCTTTCCGCATATCATGGAGCCTTTGCCCTACTGTTGCCAGTCACAGTTCATCATCACCATCATCATATCGATTCGACCACAAACGACAACTTACCGAGATATCGAGAACAATATCCGTATGGTAGTAATGATGATTGCGGTCGCACTTATTCAGACTAACATAATACTGTGGCGCCGCGCCCCTCCGACGAAGGCGAGAGCGCCCTCCCCCTCGAGGCGCGGTGCGTCGGACGGCACGCCGGAGAGTCCCTGAGCGGCTAGGGACGAGTCCGTTGGGACCGAAGCATACCGTCCCCCAAGAAAGTTGGTCTTCGTCGAGATGATGGCTAATCTGATTGGTCGAAACTGAATGACGTAAACCGGACAGACCTGACTTGAAATAAACTTCGCCTGGACCCCTGACTTATATACAATAATTAACAAGCGGCTGGTTTATTCATCAACACACTCAACCAATACACCAGTAGAGGGCGCTATTGACGGGGAAACTGCGTGATTATACGTGACTGGACTTCGCCCAGAGCAGCGAACACCACAATTAATTGCGGGCATCCAGTGCCGAATCAGGGACTTTAGCAAGTCTACGGGCTTATTGTCAGGGCTGCGCTACACGCAAGTCACGTCACGAGATAGCAATCCACCCTTGCATCGACCGCAAGCTCCTATCAGGAACTATACCGCACCACCAATCAGCCCCTCAACCTACCGAGCCTCTCAACAACACACGCACCAGTCGGACTTGGGCACAGTCACACTAGGCTACGTGACTTTAACCCTTGCACAGGATTCTCGACCCTTACCTCAGGATTAGCCCTTTATCAGGACGACTAGTCCTAGCCTACGTGCGCCTTTTATAGGGTGCGTTCGATTAGCTTACACGTGTAAGTCAAACTTACACCAGAGCGTTCGTTTAGCCATCACGTGATCCCCGTGCCTGCCCTGGTGTCAACCACTACTACCCCAGCTGGCGAGCGGGTCTCTGGAGGCTGCCCGAGTGTAATGACGTAACGGATGGACTGTTAGAGCATGGACGTACATGATGGAACGTGGCGGGGACTTGACCTTTATCCCAGAATGCCTTGGAAAACACACTGGAGCGTTCGATAAGCCTCATTTTGAGGCTTCCCTTGAGTGTAACACTGGTGTGTTCAGGGAAGCTAATCGAACGCACCCATAGCTTTCGCACTTCTATGACCACGCCCGCGCACGCGCTCACGTGACTAAGCAGTGCCTTCCGATCCGCTGCCCTATCGCACAACGCACAAGGCGGACCCTGTGCGCCGCGCTTGCTTAACACACAGCTATGCGCGCCTAACATCTGCCTCTGTTACTGGGCAGAGCGCCATCTATATCTTTGCACCGCACCTAGTGACTAGCGCCCTCTGTCACGTCACAATTCGTTTGAAATATTCAAGCAATGTGCGAACAAGGTGTGGTTGTTGATAGTACTGCCAATGTGGGCAACGAATAAACGAGTTTTACTTACTGATAGGAATACTGGGCGGTCAGGTCGTAACGTTAATGTGACGGGCGCCACAGAGCAATATATTCCACCTTCTCCTGTGTGGCTATACACTCTGGTAACACGCTGAGCCTGGAACTACCTCGATGTCTTTACAGCTAAAGGTGGAAAGACCCTTAACCACCCGAGGTTTACAAATAAAACGAGTTGGAATAGGGTCAAGTCACAAATCAGTTCACAAGTCATTTCGAAAGTTAGTCCACAAATCAGGTTGGAACTAACTTTACAGGTGAACAACGACAAAGGAATAATGCCTTTGTCATTGGTTGATTTAGGACTGAATAACCTGTGGTGACTTGTGGCTGACTCGGTTGCAACTCTGTTTCCATGAGTTTAACAATTCACAAGTTTTCTCGGGTGAAATTCAAAGCTACATCCTACTAGTGCAGACGTCTTAAGTAACTCCAATTTGTACGTTCGAATCATTTTTTTTATCCTTCATTGACGGAGTAGCCTATGAAGAAATGGTGTTAACCCGCCCTCCCACCAACATGCTATAACAGTGTCCCTTTTGCTAGTAAGTGCCCCGTTTCTCCCGNCCAAAAAAAAAAAAACCTTTGGAAAATTGTGTTGAAGTTCTTACTTTTGATTGAGTGGATCGCTGGCAAACAGGGTAAAATCATGTATTATTTCTGACGGATTTTGGAGTCAATTACTTTCCCTTAGGGCACACAAAGGTTTTGATTTTTATTTGAACAAATGACTTTTAAGCAAACTTTTATGTGGCGATTCGGGGATATGTTTTTGAAATAGAAACCAGATGTTGGTCATCCTTAACTTCTTTTCATCAAAGATATCACCATGATTTTTATGTTTCCTAAAGGAAAAATGAAGCCCAAGCTTACAGACAAGTACATGTAACTATTCTTTGATCCTCGTTAGAGCGGGAGACACGGAATGAAGAGCCCCCATTGGTACCCCACAAACCACAATGGGCAAAAGTAGTTTGACATGTTTGGACCGTACGCCCAGAACCACGGTACTTGTCTTTCCGCATATCATGGAGCCTTTGCCCTACTGTTGCCAGTCACAGTTCATCAGCATCATCATATCGATTCGACCACAATCGACAACTTACCGAGATATCGAGAGTAATGTCCGTATGGTAGTAATGATGATTGCGGTCGCACTTATTCAAAGACTAACATAATACGTTTGACATATTCAAGCAATGTGCGAACAAGGTGTGGTTGTTGATAGTACTGCCAATGTGGGCAACGAATAAACGAGTTCTACTTACTGATAGGAATACTGGGCGGTCAGGTCGTAACGTTAATGTGACGGGCGCCACAGAGCAATATGTTCCACCTTCTCCCGTGTGGCTATACACTCTGGTAACACGCTGAGCCTGGAACTACCTCGATGTCTTTACAGCTAAAGGTGGAAAGACCCTAAACCACCCGAGGTTTACAAACATGAAAACAACCCAAACCTTTTGATTTTTGAGGTGCAACTATTATTAACTAGCGGGAAAGTCCCATTTAAGTCCAATCCATTGTTCTGATTGCCTAATTCGTTTCATCGTTGATCACACCGGACGTAGCCAGCCCGGGCCACAGAAAAAGAAATGGCTAGGCCTCGGCAGTTGCGACAACAGGTAATGTTGAAACTTTAACCCTATTTATCAATGTACATTTACATATGGACATGAATATGTGGACATGACATAAGGAACACAGGAGTTTGAACTGCCCGGGCTATAACATCTGGCCAATTACCGCTTTCTGGCATGCCTGGTACGCACCACCTGTTTCATAACCATAAGCCCCCTTCGTACCCCATGATCATCGCCGTAATTTTTCGCTGGTAATCTGCATCCTTAAAACGTTGTGTACCATAGTATAGGAAGTTCAATATTCATTGGTGCTTGGTATGATCTGACAACAGTATCAAACTTAATGCTTGCGTAGTTGCTTGTATAAGGTTGTGGACCCGAAGTATTCCTGTGCAGTTATTTCCCTTGTCGAACTCTTTCTTCTGGACTTATTTTGGTAATAAATGGCCAAGTTGTTTATATTGTGTTTTATTTTATCATTTATATTACGGAATTTACGTATTTAAACGGTACCTTCTTTACGGTATTTTATGTGATCTCGTGATCACTCCTTGTGATGAAACAGCGCATTTTGTCCTGCCCTGTGGTGGTCATCATGTGGTTGGCCAGTCTTAGCCAAATTCGTACAAAGACTTTTATGTTTTGAAGTTACAAGATGAAATTACAAACATTGCACGGATAATGGAAAAGTGCATCAAAATCTCAAAAAAATTATTATTCACGACGGCAAAAGTAAATCTAATGTTAGATATTCATTCTTCTTATTTCTTGGTCACTGCAATACGTTTTAGTTCATTGCTACAAAGAAACTACAAATATTGCTACAATATTACTGGCCCCACTTGTCTGGCTAAGGGGTAGGCAGTAATCAGGAATTTTTGGAATGTTTATTATTGCTCGTCTGACCGGACGGCGATGATCATCGAGCACTTTTATGTGCCAGATTTGTAACTCCTGTGTCCTTCCTCCATGGTATACATGTACATGTTTGTGTTCAGCGGCTGGATACTCGATGAGAACGCATGGGGTGAGACTAAGAGGTATGCGGGACTTCCTTGTTCTGCATCATATGGTTTCAGTTCGACCTTTGACACTAATTCTAGCAGAGAGGTCACCCAGTGGGTCAAGCCAGACCCCGATAAGCATACTCTCTTGTTTTTCATTGAGGAAGAGATATTTTGTAACTTACAGAATGGTTTTGCTGATGACTTATTCAAGGATGAATACTGATTTCGCTTTGAACAATAGACCTGTTCACTAATAAATTCATAATTATGCACGCATGCGCACAAATGGCCTTGGCGGCAAGAAGTGTGAGCGGGCCATTGAAAATGTACAGAGATGCGATGATCATTTTCTCTCAGGTTTTCTGACTCTGTTCAGTTTTGTTTTGAGAAAATCCCATTAAATCGTTTTCACTATTGGTTTCTAATTTAAGTGGAATTTTTAGTGCTCTGTTATTAGATTTTATAATCGTATTTTTTTCATGTTTGCAGGAGATCGTCGTTTCTTAGTGTGGCCACCTTCCATCGCTAGTAGTGTAAACTATCGCTAGTGTTCTAGGAACCAACTAATAACCAAGAGTTTGCGAGAATAATCTCCGTCTGTAGCCAAAGAGTGAGCCAGTCCGGTATTTCAAAAAAGCAAGGTCATTCGGGAACAAACCCGCACTTCATTTTAGCATGCGTTTTGGGCACAAATGAAGGACTGTCACGAGGGTGAGCCAATATACCATTCAGTAAAGTAAATCCATATGATTTTGTAATTAAGTTAAGTGCAGTGTCCTGGCGTCGGTGTGAGCAGGTAATACAGGGGGTCTGGTTGTAACAGAAAGAGTTAGCAGTAAACATACACGCTATTTGACTCTCGAGAAGGACCAACTAAAGAAAGTATCATTTATGTGCATATAGTCTTGACTGAAGGTGCATGGGAATAAGTTCCTCGACGTGCCTCAATCAAGATTGGCAAGGTTTTATATACTGGGTAAGTTTCAAACTCAGTTTCCTAATGTTGAAATATTGACCACTGAAAACAAAATCCAAAGTTCTGGTAATGTCCACGACTCTCCGTAAATGTGTGCTCCATCTTGCGAATGATAAATGGAAGCACAGTGGCGAGGTGTCTCACATTTAGATTACAGTACAGCGCTGCTACAGTAACTTTGCAATACCAAACAATCTGGTTTACTGAACATGCCCATTGTCTCCCAAATTTCCTGTGCATTTTTACCGAACACTGAAAATTTTCGTTGAAATGAAAAATGGGAAAAAAAACGACAAAATAAAAAAAAAATTAGGACTGATGACAATGACTTGAAAGCTAAAGACAAATGCAGCATGAAAAGTCAAACTTCACAAGGTAACAAGAAAAAATCTTGTACTTTCACCTTACAAGCAATATTTGAACGTGATGACCGCCATCCAATTTGCGTCAGTCTTTGACATCGTACAGTTTTCTCGATCACTCTAACACAACTACAACAGAAGTGTCGATAACAAGAAGAGAGATCACAATATTCACCACTCTCCGCGCCTTGCTAGGGAAAATTGTTTTTCTCATTTAACGTTTTCAATATACATCAAACGCGGTTTTCATCTGGATGCATTTTCATCCCAACTAAAACTATTCCGTGGTAATACTGAAAAAAAAATACAACGAACTTCTGGAGTCGTTGGCATAAACACAAGCAACATAATGCAAGAGACTTCTGAAGTCACTTATTTATTAATTAAAGGTACTATGGAAGTACATGAAGAACCGCAAGTGTCTCAAAGAAATCAACATCATGGTGAAATCGTAACAGTCTAAGGCAAGGTGTGAGGAGGACAACAGGCATGAACCAACATGTCCAACGAGATGAGAGCGACTCACAACTTCAATCATGTTATCGGTCATGGGATAACTTGGAAAGAAACTTGACAACGAGTGCAACCTAAGGTTCCCGACCCTACAAAGCCTCAGTTACATGAGTATTTCGAAAACAATATTGAGTGGTTTGAAGTTTATAAAAAGAGTTTGCACGATCGTCCTTCCACTCTATTCTCCTTGAATCCAATCTAAGAGTTGTTTTTCATCACTATGACGGAAGGTCTAAGATAATAATCTGCATGAGAGTCACTCTTCTTGCAGCTATGGAAGTCCTAACTAGACATGTGGGCCTAAAATGATTAGGAAAATGAGAAGTTCCAAACATCTGATAAGGAACTATTTTTCATAATATTAGCAGGGTTAATATGCCCAGCTAATGAAAAGATCATCTTTTAACATTAACAATTACAGTACTAACAATTCAATGTGAAAATATCAATACACTTTCACCTTCATTCGTGAATTCGTCCTCTTGTTTTTACTGTTCAAATGGACTGACGCACTTTGCACTCAGGTTGTGTACCTTATCATTTTGAGCTTATATCCTATCACGATTGTTAATTACGTTTGAAGCCATGTTTAGAAGACACGGAAACATGACACTGTCATTTATCTGGATCTTATCTTACGCAGGCAGCCAGAGGGCTCTGGAATCATGTGATACCGGCACCGCAACATGTGACGGAACACCTCCTTGAAGTGTGGGTGCTTGGCCCCGTAGATGATCGGGTTGACACCGCTGTTGAAGATGATGATCATGCCGGTCCAG